TTTTTTTTTTTTTTTTTTGAGGATATTGAGGCGCCTCCGTGGCGCAGGCCTCCGCTGCTGCTGCCTTCCGGCTCTCTCATTTGTTTTTAAGAATTTATTTCTTCTGTGATTTCTTTTATTATCTATTCCTCATTCAAAAGTATATTATTTAAATTCCAAATGATAGGATGATTTTGTATTTTTATTTTACTTATTTCTGATTTCATTATCATATTCTATAATAGGATACAAGGAATTATCTCTTTTTTGTTTTTGCTAAGATTTGCTTGGTGCCCCAAATTATGATCTATTTTAGAGAAAGTTCCATGAGAAGTTCTACTGAGAAGACAGTGGCTTCACTTGTCAATGGTGAAATATTCTAAATACTTCTATTAGGTTCTTTTGATTAATAGTATTTTTAGTCCTGAAATATCTAATGATGAAATAAATGGGTTGAAATTCTCTAGTATTATTGTATTATGCTATATTTAATTATTTTTTATCATACTCTTATTTTATTGGTAGGAAAACTAGGAAAGTTTATTAAATAAGAAATACAAAGCATAATGTAGTTAAAGATAATGAAATAGAATTGGTGTCTTAATTAGTATTTTCCATCTTTTTTAAAAAAATATTTTTTAGTTGTAGTGTAGTTGGACATAATACCTTTATTTTATTCATTTAGTTTTTATGTGGTGCTGAGGATCAAACCCAAGGCCCACACATACTGGACGAGCACTCCACCGCTGAGCCACAACCCCAGCCCAGTATTTTCCATCTTTAATTAGTAAAAATTATCTTCTTTAAAGTATAAGAAAAAATTACCCATATTAACACTACTGACAATAAACTTCACTAATTTAACACTATATCTCTCCAACCTTTTGTATTCATTAGCACTTAGCACTTAGCATAAAAGTTGATGGATCTTTATATTTCTAAAAGTATTAACTAAAATAGGTTTCCAATTGGAAAAGATAATAACTAATACCTTTTGGTATTAAATAGAATTGAATTCTTTATACCTTCATTTTATTTATTTATTTTTATGTGGTGCTAAGGATAGAACCCAGTGTCTCACACATCCTAGGAAAGTGCTCTACCATTGAGCCACAACCCCAACCCCAACTCTAGAACTATATCCTAATAATCAAATTAAAGACATATCAAGAAAACAGTGACATCACTGAGGGTTGTGTCAGATTGCCATTTACTGTCTAATCAGATATTCTTAAATTACTATTTGAGTTTTTATATTGAGAAGCATTTGCTTTCTGTGTATAGATACACATTGTTTGGGGCAGAAATATTTACAACCATTGTATCTTATTGTTGAATTATTCCTTTAACCAATATGAAGAAACTTCTTTGTCTCTTCTGATTAATCTTGGCTTGAAGTATACTTTTTCCTGATATGATAACATATTGCTTTGGTTTTCTCTTTGCATGGATTATTTTTTTTCTACCCTTTCACCATTTATCTCTGGATGTATTTGCCTATGAGGTGAATTTCTTGTAAACAACATATGATTAGATATTATTTTTTAATCCAATATTCCAATCTATGTCTTTGGATTGCAGAATTTAGACCATTTACATTCAATGTTATTATAGAGAATTATCTTTATTTCCTGCCATTTTTATTTCTCATATTTAATTCAGACTTTATTCTCCTTCAGTTGACAAAGTGAGATTCATCCTTGTGTTAGTTTTCATTTTTACTTTTTCATTTCTTCTTCATAAATATTTTATTATGTTTTGTGATATAGGATTAGTGGTTACAAATTATTTGTTTCTATTAATCATTGAAGGTTTTTATTTCATATTCAATTTTGAAGGATAGTTTTGCTAGTTATGGTAATCTTTGCTAGCACGCATTTTGTCAGGGCTTGTTATATACTATTGCAAACCCTCTTGTCTTTTGGGGTCTGGGTTGAGAAATCAGTTAAAATTTGAATTGGCTTACCTCTAAATGTGACCTGCCATGTTTTCTCTTACAGCTTTTAAAATTCTAACTTTATCCTGCACATTAGACTTTCACATTAAAATGTGTCTTGGAGAGGATTTATTTTGTCCTTGCCTATTTGGAATTCTATATGCATCTTGTATTTGGATTTCCATCTTATTTGTAAGATTTGGAAAATTTTCTGAAATTATTTTCTTGAAAAGATTGTGCATTTCTTTAGTGTGTGTTTCAAAGCCTTTTTCAATCCCAGTGATTCTTAAATATGATCTCTTGATGTTATCCTAGATTTCTTGAATATTTGTTTCATGATCTCTTAATATCTTTTCTTCATTGTTGCATTTTTAAAATTATATAATTGGTCTTCAAAGTCTGAGAGTCCATATTCAAAATGATCTTATTTATTTATGATGCTTTCCATTAAATTTTTTAAAGAGCATTCGTTTTTTTAAAAAGAGAGAGAATTTTTTAATATTTATTTTTTAGTTTTTGGTGGACATTTTATGTGGTGCTGAGGATCGAACCCAGCGCCCTGCATAAGCCAGGCAAGTGCGCTACCGCTTGAGCCATATCCCCAGCCCAAGAGCATTCTTTTTAAATATTTTTTGTTGTAGATTGGACACAATACCTTTATTTATTTTTATGTGGTGCTGAGGATTGAACCCAGTGCCTCAGATGTGCAAGGCATGTGCTCTACCTCTGAACCACAATCCCAGCCCCTCCATTAAATTTTTAATTTGATTTATCAAGCTGTTGATTTATCTGGTTCTTTTTAGAATCTCTCTTTATTGAAATGATGTTTCAGTTCTTGTATTTTCTAATTTCTTATTTTAGCTCATTGGACATTCTATTAATTTTCTAAATTATTCCTGACATTTCCTTCACTGTGATATTAATGTAGTCAGTTGTTGAACTGTTATGGGGTATTTAGGGAGATTAGTTCTCTTGATTTTTCATATTGCTTGCATGACCTCTCATCTCTTTGGATGATTATTGCTTCTTTTGTTATACAAGGAACATTTCAGTGATCTTATTTCTCTTAAAAGCACCAGGGTGAGCAAATATCCGAGTGTGGGAAGCCATTCTAACACGTGATTGGGCGACTCTCATTAAGGGCCTGAGGCACTTTGGCTAAGTCGAAGTTTTCCCGACCCTTTCCTGATGAGAGAGCCCATCCGTGTGGGGGTGTGCCTGACCACTGACCCCGGGGACCCAATCACTGACCCTGACCTTGGAGTGCAGCCCCCCCTCAACCTTCATTGGATGGAATTCTCCCCTGAATCTCTTGTTCCCCAATAAAAGGCTGGTCCCCGGCATGCTCGCTCTCTCTCCTGCTAGCCCTGAGTAATCCCTGCTGCCCTACTGGGCAGTTTAGAGGAGCCGTCTCGGACCTAGAAATAGAAATAAGGTAACTGAGTCTTGTGTTTTATTTCGATCTCTTCTAACTAACTTTATGCCTAGAACCTCATTAATGAAACCACTGCGCAGGCTGCGTGGTAGATCCGAGTACTAATACTTTCACTCTGTGTGTCTTCTGCTGTTCCCAGTGTCAGCACTACTTTGAAATAAAGCACTAAACCCTATTTACTACAATCTTTCAGAACAAAGTCACATACTAATCAACTTTAGGACAAACAAAAAACTTGTTGGTAATCTTCTCTATCATTCTTAATAATGATATAAGCTTGTAGTAATATCCAGAATAGTTTGGAAAAAATAGTTATTAATGACATTAAAATTGCTATTACATTATACAGCAGCTGAAAAGGGAAGAAGAGAAAAATTGGACAAAAGAAGAGAGAAAAAACAGAAAAGAATAATACACACCAAGGTAAAAAAAAAAAAGAGGAAAAAGATGAATGGGGCGATTTGAGGCAGTAGCAGGGAATGTTAAAAAAAAAATAGGGGCTTAGAAATGCAAGTGTTACCTGAGCTAGGAAAACAAAGACAGAATGATTTGAATTAATGCTTGAAAGCATTAAGTTGATAATGGTGGTACATGCTTGTAATTCCAAGTGACTGAGGCAGGAGGATCACAAATTTAAGGCCAGTCTCAGCAATTTAGCAAGGCACTAAGCAACTTAGTGAGACCCTGTCTCCAAATAAAAAATAAATAAAAAGGGCTGGGAATGAGACTTAGTGGTTGAGTGCCCCTGGGTTCAAGCTCTGGTACCAACAAAACAAAACATTAGAATAAATACAACCAAATGAGTTGAAGACATGTTATCAAATGCTATAGTAACAATTATTGATTCAAAATAAGAGTAATATATATGTGACCAAAGTTGACATTAGAGCTATTTATAGTAAACCATGCCAAGGTGGAGAAAATTCTTCTGATGTCTTTTTGATTTGCATTGCATCATGATTTGGGATTTTTCGAAGAATATTCATCAATCCTCAGCTTTGTATCTACCCAGAAGTGCTCTCTTGATTCCTATGGACTTCCTACCAACTGATTCTTATGTTTATCCAGTGGCCTGAAGCTGGATGTTTGGAAGGTGCTATTTTACATCTGCTAACTATTTCTATTGTGTTCAGAAGCATAGGATACTGTCAACTCTGACTGCAGCAGATCATTGTGTACTAGCTTTCCTCCACAGGATTCTCTTCAAAGTGGCATAGAGCCTGGGGGCTGTCTGGAAGTATAGGATCTATGGCTGTGGGCTCTCCATGGGTAATCTGCAATTCAGAAGCTTCTCCTCTGACGGATACAGATCACCAAGGCATTGTCCCTGGGACCAGGAAAGGGACTCTACTGATTCATACCCCCACTACCTATGGTTGTGAACCATAGACTCCACTTCTCTCCACTGGCTCAGCCAGAGACAGCTGTCCCACTTGTGTGTGAGCTCCCAGTGCCCATGGCAGCAAATTAGCCATGAATCAAGGCAGCCATCCCCTCCACTGCTAGACAAAGGCAGCCATCCTACCAGCACTTTAGCTCTCACTGCCTGCCACCATGAATTGCAGGTGTCCATTCTACTCCTGTATCTGCCTGAACTCCTGTGAAATCTGTGTAGAGTGGCTGGGTTAAGCTAGCCCTTCCCAGGAATGACCAGCTCTTGGGTCTCCTTTACCCTATTCCCTCTGTCTGTGGTTGGGGGAGGGGATGAAGATTTCAGTAACTATTGGCTCCAAGTGATCCCTCTACAAGTTCCCTCTTGATGGATTATGGTATACTTCAGAGGTATACCTTCTGGCTTGTTGTTGTTGTTGTTGTTGTTGTTGTTGCTATCTAAGGTGGGAGAGAAGCTGTGTTGATTTAATTCCTTCGAGAAAGACTGGCCAGCTATGGACTCCTCAAAATGGCTGCTATGCCTTGCACAGCTTTCAATCCACAATTTGGATTAAACTGCTTGATTTCCTTCACTGACTGCTGTTCTACTGCTTTTTAATTTAGTCTACTTTTCTTTTCAGCTTTGTTAAGGAAATGAGCTTATGGGTTTTCCATCTCCCTTTTTTTCTTTCTCTTTATTGCCCCTCTCTCCCACCATATTCTGGTCTGGATTTGGGATTAAGGAACACTATCCTTATTTTCTGTTCTGATAACCAAACCTCAAGTCTCTCCAAGTCTCAGACTCTCCAATATTGAGTCTTAAAACTTTTGCTCTATCACCCACCGCTCCAATTCACTATTCCTTTACTGATTCCTCTCTGGATTGTGATGATATCAAGGGTCACTACTTAGCTTAGCCATACCATCTTCCTCTCCTACCAGTTTTTTAGTTTTTTTTTTTTAATCCTGCCATTCAGTGTTCAAACTTTTAGAAATTTTAGTGAGGGATTCAACTAATGCATGAAAAGTTTTAAATTGTAAAATGATTAAACTTCCAATTCTTGGAATTTCATGTATATTTAATTGACCAATATACTTTAGCAAATTTTCTGTGCCTTTAAAGAAAGAAAGATGGTTTTAAATGATATTGAGAGAGACTTTGGGTAAAACTTTGACACCAACATCTCAGAAAAAAAATCACCTTCTATACTTCTTCATTCCAAGCAATGAATGGGATTTTCTTGTTATATAAGTTTTCGTGTACATACCAAAGGTTAGTTTATTATAACCTTTTAATAGTAAACATTCAATTGAGAAAGCATTGTTCCTCAATTTCCCTGCCTTTCTCTGTTCTTTATAGATGACAAATGATATGAAAATGCATAAAATTCTTCCAGCAACATCATTGGATTACTGATTGTGTCCTTTTTAAAAATTTCCTTCTTTATAAATAATCAAAAGGACAATTTTAAAAGTAATTGTCAACTTTTAATAGACATTTTGTGGGTTATTTTTATTTTGTAAGTAATCAGGAGTAAAATTGGTTTTACGATGTCTATAAATCCAAACAGTGTGAAGTATTAATCATCTGGTGAGACATCTAATGATTTTGTCTTATTTATTTCAGGGAGTTTTTACTTGTGCTTTTATCAATAACATGGGGAAAATAGTGGCAGGATAATGCCTCAGTATACTTGGTATTCAGACACACAGTGAATCATTCAGTCTTACCATGGATACATAAGTATCTTGTCTTTAAAAGTATTGGCTTTATTCCCACAGGTCAATGTAGACCAAGGTGAGCTAATAAGGAAAAGTTTAATTCCTTCTTTTTGAGAAGTAACATGAAAGAGAGTTCTGACAGTAATTCTGCTAATTCATCTTCAAAAGAATCTATTACCACAGATTGATGTGAGCACTCAATCATGGTAAGCATTTTGTTCTGAAAATAGTGACCTTTTTCCTAGGGAATCAATCCAATGACATTGGACCTTGACTATGTTAGGCAGCCATGGGGCTAGTCATTAACTATGATGCAGGGCTCGATGATTGAAGTATGGGTCCATGCATACCAGGGTGATAAAAAGATGAACACTCATATCTGCCACATACCTCAAGCTCAGGGTCCCTTTTATTCAATGTACCTGGACCAATGATTACTTACAAAAACAAATCTTGTTGTAATCTGAACAAAATGAGTGACCAAACCACTTCTGTGAGCTAAGGTTCAGCATAGGGACCCTGCTAGGCAGACATGTAGGTGTATTTCTGTATTTATTCAAGCAGTATAAGCCACTGGGACTGAGGTATTTGAAAGCTATCCTGATTGCATCTGTTGGAAGAAATGGATTGGATAGTTATCTATCAATATTTGCTTGTGGAGTAAAAGTGGAAACTCATTGATTGTTTGGCTTATAGCATCCATACACTATAGTAAACAGATACTTGAAAACAACACATAAGTCATGAGACCCTCTCCTTGAGCTAGTCACATGTTTGAACTGCCATATTCTGGTTGTTAATGGGTCTGAGGATGAAAATATAGTCAGAATCCAAAGACATAATTATGACTTTTTAAATTCTAATTTTCTATTAAGTGAATCAATTACATGGTAGTTGAAGAATAGGTACTTTGCTCTGTGGAACCGTCACAATATATTTTAATTTGCTGCCAACCCAGTCACTACAATTGGATAGTTCTTTTTATTTATTTTGTTTACATTTTCTATAAGCTAAGGAACCAATTTCAGTGTCAGTTTTAATGCTGACATCAACCACAGGCCACATTAAATAGTTTTAGCTATGATTATAATTTACATTGTTGTGTTTTTAAATAGATTTTATTCTCTACTTTCCTATAGCCTATCAATATTTTCCATTGCATTGAAAGAGATATTCTAATTATAATAACTTATTTGAAATAGATGTGCTAGGGAACCTTAAAAATGTATATTTCCTGAAATATTATTTTTATACTCATGATCAAAGATGTGATATTTTCTCATGCATGTGGCCCAATGCCTTAGGTGAATTTTTATAATTGCTTATAACTAAATTGATTAACACAGTTCTGTTTCACAACTTCCTTCATTTCCCCTGTACTTTGTAGATTAAGTGCTAGAATTCCCTGAAATATCATTGCAATACCAGTGAAATACTGATTTTTTATGACCTGTGTTTGCTTCCTATGAAGAATCAACATAATATATTCCTGAGGAAACATTCAATTTTAGTAAATTTATTTTTGTGAGTTATTTTTACTATTTTAAGTAATCAAGAATTAAATAGGTTTACAAAGAGTTTTTTAATTAAAATATTAAATATTAATAGTCTGATAATTTATCTCAGGCTTCAGTCTTCTTAATTTTAATTATTCTATACTTTTTTCTACTTTCTATAGCATCTGAAGCATTCTACAGAAATTATAAATTAGTGTATTTTGTATAGGTAAATAGTGATAACTGCTGTCTTATGCAGTTGTAAAAACTGGACATATCTGCTTCTCGTATTCCCAGATTATTACCCATGACAACATGGACCAAGTACTAGGTTTCAAATAAGCAGATTTGTTCCTTCCCGTGTCATCACATAAAGAAAAAATACTGGGAATTATACATCCTCTCTTTCTTAAGGGCCAATGGGAATTCTCTTATGGCAATTGTTTTGTCCTAAAAATACTGACATTCTTCTTAGGGAAACACAACATTCCAATGACACTAGACCCTGGCTATGCTAGGTGACTATGTGACTTGTCATTGACTGGGATGTTGGTCTGCATAATTGAAGAGTGTAATTAAGAGTATACCAGGGTGACAAAAACCTGGGTGATCAGAAACTGCCACATACCTCAGGTTCAGGGTTCCTTTTATTCAATGATGACTTACAGAAATGAATCTCATTGGAATCGGGATAAATTGAGTAACCAAACCACTTCTGTGAGTTGAGGTCCAGCAAGGGGACCCTGCTAGGCAGACATGTGGAGGGAGTTTAAGTAGTCAGCAGCTGGGTATGAAACTAACCTGTTCACAGCAAATGAATTGTATAGAGGTCTATAAATACCCAATTATAGGATGACACAGATTTTTTTAAGGGCTTACCCAATTATAGGATGACACAGATTTTTTTTAAGGGCTTACCCAATTATAGGATGACACAGATTTTTTTTTAAGGGTATATAGATGCTAAGACATCTATATACCTAGTAAATATACTCTAGAGAAACAGGACTTGACTGGTGAGATTCATAGGAAATTATTATTTCTATCCTTGGGTTAGCTGACATTTATCTAAGCTACCTAAGTCTTCTAGCTGATAGTTTTTCTTTAGAGTGTAATAAGATGACCAATGTCCAAAGATGTTGAAGATATTTTATTTTTTATTTTCTATACTAAAAAATTTGCATGGGAATTTAGGAAAGGGTACTACTATATATGGAATCAACTAGTGGATTTTATTTATTTATTTATTTGCCAATTTAGGCACTAGTTTTGGAACAAGTTTGCTTTCACTTTTTCCTATAAAAAGGGAATGATTTTTTATATTAGCACTGCCTTCAAATATATGCTTCATTAAATATCTTAGATGTGAAAAGGTTATGTTCATTTTTACATGAATGTATTGGACACATATACCTGTCCTCAATATTTTCCACTCTATTGAAAGAGATATTCTCATTATAATAAATAATTTGAAGTGGATGGATATGCCAGGGAAATTTTGATATTAACATTTTATAAAATATTATTTTACATAGTTGTGACCAAAGATGCTGCAAGCAAGTTTAGTTGTGTTTGTCATACAGTTGGTCCAATGAATGTCTTGTGTGAATTGTTAAAATTAATTGTAATTCAGTAATCTATTAGCATTTTTTTCTCAGCTTCCCTAATTCCCCTGTACTTTTGTAAATTAGGCATGATAGAATCCATGGAATCCCACCACTGGAGAGTCACATAATAAAATTGTTACCTACCATCTCCTTTATCTGTAAATGATGAAAACAATATACTCCTGAGGTAACAACAAATTTTTTAGTGAATTCTTGTGAGGTTTGGTATCATTTTTTTAAATTATTGAAAATTTAATTTTGTGAACAATATGTTCATACAAACAGCCTCAAGCATTATTAAGTTGTGCTAAGACATCATTATTTTTAAGATTTTGTGCTTTTTGTTACTTTGAATAACATCTAATCCATTTTATAGAGATTGTAAATTAGTATATTTTATGTGGAAGTTAATAGGGAAATTGCCTATCCCATGCAAATGTGAAAAAAAATAATCTGTATACTTTCATATTCCTATATATAATCTCTCCCTATAGGTCAATGTAAACCAAGATCTGCAATTCATCTGGATAAATTTATTTCTTCATTTGTGTTGTCATGTGAAGGAAAGTATTAGGAATCATTCAGTCTCTCATCCTCAAGAGCCAGTGGTATTTCTCACAAAGTAAGCATTTTGCCTGAACATACTTATATTCCTTGTAGAAACCACAAAGCTCCAACAGCACTGCATTGTGGCAGCCATGAAACTGGTCTACATGATTAAAGATGTGGGTCAGTGTGTCTCAGTGTGATTAAGGCTAAGTGATCAGTGTCTGCCACATACCTCAGGTACAGGGTCCCTTTTATTCAATGTGCCTGGAACTCAGTTAACTTACAAAAATGGATCTTGTTGGAATCTGAACAAAATGAATGACCAAACCACTTCTGAAAACTGAGATTTGGCACAGGGACCCTGCTAGGCAGAAATTTGGGAGAATTTCAGGTGTTCAACCAGTAGGTCTCACAGATCTGAGGGAAATTGAAAACTACCAAATTGTATAGATTAGTTGAAATGAAATGGATGTTTGTTTATAGATATCCAATTGTGGAATATAAGAGTTAGTCCTTTGTTATTTCACTGGTAGCCTCTATATTCTGGGTTGGAGATTAACACCTGAGTAGTGAACACTTTGGGAAACTATTTTACCTATACGTGAGTCGTTCTTCTCATTGGGAATAGTCTACTAAGGTCCTAGTAAATGACCACTTAAAAGATATGAGGAGTTTTTATTTGGGCTTTATCACTTAAATTATAAAAGTATTATGGAACATGTAATTTTTGTTTTTCTTAAAGGGTAATGACATATTTTAGTTTGATCCTTCACATGGTCACAAGCACATATTTTGTGTTACCTGTGTTTGGGGCTCAGTTTTCTACATGCTTGAGGGAAGGATTCCAATCCTGCAAGAAGAATTTAAACTATAAAATAATTGTATTAATATATATTTTGTGGACTGATATTCATTCTTTCAACCATTTTCTATTTAAATGGATATTTTAGTTTTAATGAGTTATCCTGAAAGAGACCTTCAGGAACACTTTGACACCAATGTCTTAGGAAAAAAAATTACCTTCTATACTCTGTTCTAATCAGTAAATACAATTTTTTGTCATGTAGGTTGTCAAGTACATATCTATGATTGCTTTCTAGAAATCTTTTAACAGTAAACATTCAATTGGGAAGGTATTGTTCTTCAATTTTCCTGACTTCTTCTGTACTTTGTAGTTGAAAGGAACATTAGAAGCACTTAGAATTATTACTGCTATAATGGGACATTGCCATCAGTGACCCCATCTTGGTTTATTGTTGTTTCTAATTACCAGGATATATTCTTTATACTGCATCCTGGAGCATCTTACCCTCAAGACAAAAGAAGCCTGTTATTAGAAGTTTATCACATCTGATCAGTGCTTTCTTAATTCATTCTCCTGGAAAATGCTGGTTTTTGAATGTTGTCCCTAATTTATTTCTCATATATTCCCCATATCCAAAAAGACTTTAAGGTGATATCAGAGACATTGAAATGTATGGCTCCTTCCAGAATACTGACATCCTCAATGAAACCTAATTTCTTTATCCCAAATGTGCATCTCTCAGACAATGGTTTTCTATGTAGCAAGTTCCGAATCTCAGGTTGGTAATACAGCCACAACATAGAGCTACTGAGCTAGCCACTTTTTATCAACTTCTGTATCTTGAAACGATCAAAACACCAGTTTCTGAGACAACATGACAATTTCTGTGTGTGTGTCTGTGTGTGTGTTTCTGGAAATTGAACTCAGGGAATCACACATGCTAGGCACAG